ACATTACTGCTCTGGCAAGGCTGTGATACACCAGGGAGAATGACTAGCCACGGAGTTTACTGATGCCAACAGCACACAGGCAGACTTTCCCAGCCCTCTCTGCAGCACTGGGAGGCTCCATCGCACACCAGAAATGGAAACAAATGCACTCAGCTGGCCCCAGCTTCTCCCAAACCACCCACCAAGGATGTTCACCTCCAACAATTCCCCCCCACCGTTTCCCCCTTGGTGCAGAAAAGCTCCCACAATCCGCGATGGGCCTGAAAGACCCAGGAACAACCTGCTGTCAGTCATGTTCCATCACACAGCAGTCACATATGTCCCATCCACAGCTGGGTACGTCACTGCAGAGCGTCAAGGGGAATAAAGCCCCCAGCCTCTGACAGGCACTGCACACTGCTTTCACACCTGCAGCAAGAAATTCCTGAGAAAACCTGCTTGGGGACAGGAGGCAGTGACAAAAGCACTTCCAAAAAGCAAATCGCTCCACCATTTCCTTTTTCCCCCCCCGAGTCCCTCAGCAAGGCCAAGGAGTGTTACAGAGCAAAATACAGCTTGCACAAGCATCACCTACCCAGTCATAAGCAGTGGTTGTCTGCATTTCCAAGAAAACTACTCATGGACTGTGTGCACTGGAGGGGAAAACAATGCAGGCATCACAGCAAAACGTGGGTTTTAAAAACAGCAGTCAAGACCCGTGACAGTTTTATCATACTCAGAGGAGAGAAATATATTAAACCATTTTGCCATTAACCACTTATTAATTACGGGCAAAATTGCCGAACACACCCCACTATTACTGAGGTATTTTACAAAACACAACCTACCCGGCCAAGGACTGCATGCTTACGATTCCCATGACTTGCAGGAACCTTAAAACCTCACATGCCTTTTCACACACTGGACAAATAAGGAGACCCAGTTTGAAGAAGGCACAGAGCTCTACTGAGAAGGACTACAGTGGGGCCAACAGAGGCCTGGAGACAATCTCTGGCCTCCTGGAAGGCCACAGTTATTTTGCCACTGTTTCCCTGGAGGCTCACAGCACCATCACCTGCTCCAAGTTCAGCCACCCCAGTCACAAAGGTGACAAGACCAGGGGCCAGACTCTCCAGTTCAAGCTTGAAAGCTCAGCGGCACCTTCTCAGGCAAACGCTTTCCCAGCACAATACCTTCAAGCTGACTTACCTCAAACAACCAGGCTTGGTAGTTATGGGCACCCGCAGGACAAAACAGAAAATGGATTAGAAGCAAATAACCCCAGCAGGCTCACCAGGGAACCGCTGCCTTACAGCATAGCACATAACAGTATGTGCAGCTGAATACAATTCCAGCAAAGCTCAGGCCTTCTTCGCACACAAGGCTGATAGTCTTGGACGCTTTGGGCACTCCCTCTTCCCAGCAAGGACAGGGGCCTTGGCACGCCTTAGGGGGACCAGGAAAGAAAAACAAAGAGATACAGACACTGAAGAGGACATGTTTTCAGGTAAGCGCTAAGGCACGTTCCTAGTTTATTGACACCTTCCAGCCTTCCTCTTCCTTCCTCTTCTTGCTGGTCCAGCCCTCCTCTTCCTTTCTCTTCTTGCTGGAGGATGACACACAGAGCAGGCATACCACTGGCAACAGTCCTGCCACCACTGCCCTGTTACTGTCCCCAGGACACAACGCTGCCAAGAGTGGCCCAGCCCAGCGTGGAAGGGCTGGATAGTTTCCTTGCCATGATGCTGCTGGCAAGCTGACCCACGCACCTGCTGTCCCCCAAGCAAGCAGCTTCAGGGATGTTTATTTTTGGCCACTAGCTTCTTTTGCTTACTTCTCTAGGTTCCTACGCAGCATCCTTCTGCACACTGAGACTCTTCGCAAAACACCGTCAGGTATCCGAGAGCAACAACTTCCTGGCCTGGAGGGGATTCAGAGACCTCCAGAAGAAACATGCCATCCTCCAGCAAACATCTTCAAGTCAGTCAAACCGACAAAACCCCATTTATTTTTATGCACTGGCGTAAAAAAAGAATTATACTATACACTTTTTATGCCAGAGCATCTGAATATGTACCTGCCCACAATAAGGGCTCACTTGACACACAAAGCAATATGCAGAGCACATGTATATCGGATCTCGTCCATAAAAGGCCAAAGAACAAGTCTGAGAACCATCTACCCAGGGCTGCCTCTCACCCACCCAGGAACAAAAGATTCTCCATCTTGCACAGGAGCAGACTGCATAACCCTTGCAAGAGGAGCATGCCACTGAAATGGGATTCAAGCCTAGATACCGCACAGTTTGAACTGCACTGAACAGTCATCCCGGGCCATTCACTTGCCAGAGACAAAAAACAAATGCAATCTTAGTGCAACAAAGTGATATTTGGGTAGCCTTCAGGCTGCAGTGCCAGGGACTCTGGCTGCAACGGACACAAGCGCTTGCAGAGCGGCGTGAAGAAGGCAGAGACAGAGGGGAGGCCCCTCTGGGTGAGCACATGCCTCTGTAGTACCTTACCAGATCACGGATCAAGTGTCCCGGCATTCATTGCAAAAAGCCGCCCCATCTCTCATGCACAGGGGTCAAGGACACAGGCAGCAATCGGGAAAAGCAGGAGAATGCAAGGCAGTAAATCAGGGACAGACTAACCCCCACAAGTACCAGCCAGACCTCACCACCACCACCACTACTCGCACACCTTCTCAACAGGCCAAATACCTTAACTCACCATCACCTCGCGTCCTCTTTCAGCTGCCTCTCGGGGGGGTGAAGAGTTCAGACCCCTGGTGGCACCCGCACAAAGGGAACATATCCTCCCCCTCCACTGCCACAAAGGCCGCCTGGGGACAGGATGGAAGTTCTCCCCAGACACATCTAGGAGGCAGCTCACAACTGTATGGCACCTGGACTCGCAGGCTGAGCTCCCTCTGAAAGAAACAGAAACCTCAGCTGCTCGAGGGCAGAGCATGACCCTTAAGAAAACAAGGTCACAGAGCATTTCAACTGCCTGCTGGAGAGCACTCTCCCCTCTGTGCTCCTGTAAATCCTTCTCCCATTAATGGGAGAAACATCAATAAGCACTTACAAATGCAATCATTGTGAGAAGAGCTGGCATGAAGTCCTGCTCCCAAATCACTCCATGCGCAACAGGTCAAGAGGCTGCAGAAACACCCTCAGGAATTCTTTTCCTTTGCCAAGAAGATGAGCCACAAAAACCTAGTTGGGTTTCCTTCAAACTCAGCAGCACCTTTCCCCTCACACTAACAGGGAACTAGTCAAGCGCTGCCCATCACAGGCACCGACTGAGCGCAGGGGAGGAATAAGCCCCAAAACACTGGGGTTTAGTCTCGCTTTGACACAGTCCCTGTCCTACCACCCC